TGTAAATATATGACATTTTATAAAAGCACAAAAGAGCCCAGGGTCATAAAAATGATTAAGGCAATTTAAAGAAGGAAAAGGTCATTTTCCCATGGTGTAAAAGGAGATGGCTATTTTTTGAGGAGTCAGATAACTGTGGGTCAACTCTGTGGGGGATATGAAGGTTTTAACACCTTCATACCACCCACAGTCAAAAGATGCTTTCAAATATATCTATTAGTCTCAGTGTAGAATGCATTTTTCAGGATGCAAAACAGTGGTGCTTATTTTAGTTTTCTAAACACTTGTTATGTTTTTTTATGATGTGCTCTTCTTCTCTTTTCGTGTTTTTGTTTCAAATTTTTTTAATAAATTAAAAGTTGTAATATGTAGTAAAAAATTGAAACAAAACCGAAGCATTTTTCTTGGGGTGGGGGATTTCTATTTCAATTTGAAAAATAGTTATTAAATTGGGAAAACAGTAGTTTCTTTTTCTGAAATTCTCAATTCTGTTTTACTTTATTGTAGCGAATTTCAAATTTTCAGAAGGGGAGGCTAAAGTTTTCGATTTGGAAAATAGCTTTAAAGTCGAAAATAAGAGTTAAATATAAGTTTTACTCGACTTTATTCTTGCGAATGTCTGATATTCAGAAGGGGTGAAGTATATTCTTCCCCCCCCCCTCACTTTAAGAAGAAAATAAAATTTTCTTTTTTAAAAATAGCTTCAAAGTTTTTTTTTTTTTTTTTGAAACAATTTTACTGGACTTTATTATTTCAAATGTCTAAATTTCTGAAGATACTAAAAACATTTTAGCCCCCCTTACTTTATATCAGAGGAAATTAAAGTTTTCTATCCCCTTACTATAATTTAAGAGGAAAATGAAGTTTTCTATTTGGAAAATATCGTCGAAGTTATGAAACAAAACAATTTTTTTCCTCTAAAAATTTCAACTTTACTTGATTTTATTCTATTAATGTCTAAATTTCAGAAGATGAGAAGCAAATTTTTCACCCCCTCACTTTTATTTCAGAAGAAAATAAAGCTTTCTATTTGGAAAATAGAATCAAAGATGACATTTATTTTTAGTTACCAATTTTTATTATTTTTGAGCACTTTGAAATTTCAGAAGGGGCGAAACACTATGTTCGCCCCCTCATTATTATTTCGGAAGTAAATAGAGTAAAAATTGGAAATAAAATACTTTTTCTACTTTTACTTTACTTTTCCAAAAGTCAAAAAACATATTAATCGCCCATAACAGAATAACTTGATGTATATCTTCAAAGCTGAAAAAGAATAGCTTTTTTTTCCCTCTAAAATTACCTACTTTACTAGACTTCGTCTTGGCGAATAACTAAATATCAAAAGAGGCAAGGCACAAAAATGTTAGAGGAATATAAAGTTTTCTATTTCAAAAATAGCTTCAAAATTGAAATTCTTTTTCTTTTTAAATTACTGATTTTACTTGACTTTATTTTTGTGAGTGTCTAAATTTCAGGAGGGGCGAAACGCATCGTTTGCCCCGTCATCTAAATTTTAGAGGGGCCCTCTGCCTCCCCCTGGTTGGCACGCGACTGGGTCTGACGCAATCAACTACATGCAGCTGTGGCCTTTCCCCTTCTCTGCAAAGCGTGTTTGTTCTTTTAAGAAAGGGAAATATTTTGTGAAAAGGTGTTTTACCGTTTTTTACCCTTCCCTTTATGTTATAGTGCAGTGTTTCCCAAAGTGTGGTACGCGTACCCCCAGGAGTACGGGAACAGTTAAGAGGGGGTACGTGTTCTTATGCGAAATATCTTGCAACAAACGAAAATTTTTAAACATTTTATTCAAAAACAAAGCTAGCCATGAAAATTTACGATTACGTATTTTTATATTGGCAACTTTTTGCAGAGTCAACAGTTAATATTTAGTGGTGTCAACAGCCAGTTGTGATTTTTAACTTTAGTGTAATTTTTTTATAGAAAAAAATACATTCGTTTTTTAATCAGTGGTTCACAGCGTTAAGAAGAATTTAGAAGGGGTACACAAGAGTCATAAGTTTGGGAAACACTGTTATAGTGGGTACGCAATTACAAAAAAGATAATTTTCATCTACTCTATCTTAACACAATTTCTTTCCAACATATATATAATTAGAGTGCTTTATTTTGAAAAAAAAAAGTCTCTTCATATGGGGCCCCCTTGACCGTCGGGGCCTCGGGGCGGTGCCCCGACTGCCCCGGCGTAGTTACGGCCCTGTGTGGTAATACTTTAAGTTACAAAATCAAATACAAAATTGTACTTTTGCTGAATAAATATACCTTTTTTCCGATGGATTTGGATATTAAACATTCAAAATGGTGAGTAGCATTAATTTATGAAATATGGATCCTATAGCTGGAAAGCAGCCTTAAGTTTGGTCTCACAAAGTTGATCACTATTTATTTTAATAATAAGTTTAAAAAAATGTAATTGCTAAGTATATAAATTTTCACCTAATTTCAAACATATGCGACATTAAATGGCAACATCAAAAATTTGAGCAGATTAGGTTGAATAGTTCTATACTTCTTGAAATGAAAATATAAAAACATGACTTATTTGAAAAGTTTTTTTGACAACTACAAAACATTTTGACCAATTCTGCTCAAATGTTAGATTTTATCATTTAAAATTACTTACTACTTTAAAATTATTTTAAAAAAAACTCACCTAACGATTCAATTCTTTTTTGCTCAATAATAATATAAGTAATAAAATATATTTTGCAAGAAATCATTTTTGGATGAAGAAGTTTTATAACTGAGTGCATAATATATTTTTTTTTTGCTTAAACAGTTCTATAAACATAGAAAAATAAGCTGAAAGAGAAAATAACATTTAATGCCACTAAAATTTTGACTGTTGCCATTGCTAAAGTATAGAATCCTATTTTCCAAATTGGGGCTATATTTTTTTAATTGCGATAGATCAAAGTCAATATAATTTGAAAGTAATTTAGTAATGAGTACTACTGCATATTCATATGGAGAGAAATGTCCACATGGAATTGTATTAGGAGAATTGTCCATAAGCCTATTTTTAAAGAGAGTGATACTGTCAATGATACTTAGAGAAATTTTTTGCTGCACTTCCAAAAGAGAACTAAATAAAAAAAATTATATAAAACAACAATAAATAATGTTATGACTAACATACATCTAAATGACCTAAAAATACTTACGCAAATTGATTAAAAGGTATATCCAATAATATATTGAGATTTTTAAAATTATCAGGCTTTAATAAATTATCAAGAGCCAATGAGGTCTTCCAGATTGCAGCCGGTATGTCACAAGGAACAGAATAACTTGCATTTCTACAAATAAATTCATCAAATCTATTCCACTCTTCAGCAACCAGAGAGCTTATGAGTACTCTTTGTGTGTGTAAAACACCCTTTTTCCAAACTATTCTATTATTATAAGGCATGACTAGTTCACCATGAAAGAGAATGGAGCTTTTCATTACTTGATTACAAATTCCATATCCAAAGCAAACAGGACAGGAATATAAGTGACTAAATAAAGGTGCAAAATCCACTGTTGTTCTTTCAGATTGTTTCTTGATAGCAACAAGTGTGGGTAAAGACACGGGATGCAGACCATGAATAAAAGAAACAACTCCAAGTATTTTATGCCTTAAAAATTTCACTCCAATCATTAAAGATAATATGATTACGATGACAATGATAGCTTTCTTTGGCCAACGGTAAAGTAACATGTTGAACAAGTATTCAATTTATGAAAAGTGATCTGCAACATAAAAAACAATTATATAATAATGTGTGCATAAAAATTGAAGATCAAAGGAGAAGAATGGTTCGTGTCCATGAACACTATGATTCTAACAATATGATTCCAATTCGCGTGCGGACAGGTAGGATTTTTGCATAGTGCAGCCCATCTTAACTCTGTAATAATTTTTGGAGAAAACTGATTTTCCCATCATTGCTTGTCAAAACTTAGTAATCCTCAAAATGCAATAGATGGCGATCTGATCGTTATTTATGTGAAATATGGACAAAAACTGTTCTTTCCCGTTGGTCTTCAACTGTTCAACTTTATACATATATATATATATATTAACTAGAAGCATGTTGATACTGTATATTTTTAATTGCGCCATATGAATCTTTCTTCATTGTACACTTTATTTTATGTTTAAACTGCACAGTGCGCAAAAAAAACCAGACAACCCTGAATAACTCTTGAACTAATGATTGGATCTTCACATTCTAGGACTCAATCTTAATGGCTTGAGGGGGTGAACTTAAATATGCTAATTAGTAAGTGCAAACGATTATTTTAAGTAACAAAATCAGACACGAAAACGTACTTTCTCAGAATGAACATACCATTTTTTTTCACCGGATTCAGATTTTTGACTCCCAAAACATACGGGTAGCTGCAATCAGGGAAATATGGCCCCAATAGTTTGGTCAGGAGAGCAGTACAAAATTTGGACCCCTTAATGTTAATTTTACTCTTTGCATATTTCGCTACATCTCGAGAACTTTTTAATAGAATTGAAAATTTTTTACACACAATTATAAAATTTAAGCCAGTAGGATTGAGTCCAAGCATGTGAAAATCTGATCATTATATAAAAAGTTTCTCAGGGTGGTCCTTTTTTTTTCTTTGTGCGCAGTACAATATTACTGCTTATTATCCACATTTATTTTGCTCTTCTTTTTAAGTCATGCAGTGCCTTATTTACCAAAAGATATCCTTCCAGAATTTTATATTTACTCTACTTTGTAAACCAAAACCCTCTCTGGGACTCATCTCCCAACTTAATGACCATTTGCCAATCACCGGTTCAAAGCACCATTCAAAGCTTCAAGGTTTCCACAGTCAATTAATTCTAAAACAATTGCTAATTTAGTTGGATCAAATAGAGAAGGTTACATGGAAAAATGTCAAAAGTAAATTTTTTGAAAGAAACACCCTACAACAGTTTCATTTCTAATTTGCAAACACAACACTCGACTAAGACATCTAGGGACAAGGCTTGTTCTATATCAAGAGCTTCTCTTCCTCTGCTCAAATGTATGGGAATATGTTAAGAAATTTCCCCCTTTCATAATATTTTTCGCATTTATATTGGCAAAAATATTTTTTAAAAATTCCTTGGTGCTTACTTTAAGAACTGTTAAATGCAATTTTGAGTTCTTTGAAAATTCCAAGCTTAAAAAAAATGTAATCGGTTAAAAAATTAAGGCAGTAATTTATGTACTTCCAACTCCTATGGCTATCCAAACGCTAATGGTCAAAGCATGCCGAGTGTTGCCATAGATAAAGAGTTCTGCTATGCACCACCTGTAGCCCATTTTAATTGCCAATTACAACACATGAAAGAAACAGCCACTTCTACAGGTCGTATTACTGATCTTGTTCTGTAGGTTTGATTTAATTGAAAAATTTTATCAATAATTATGATAGCTTGAATTGAATACCAGAAAATTTCTTTAAATATAGACACAGTTGTGGAAATGGTCATCAATATTGATTCTGAGAATGATAATGAAGAAGTCAATGATCAATTTCAGGAGACTGTACACACACATTTTTACCTGTGCAAAAACTATGAAATTGTAGTTCAAATGTTAGAATTCTATATAATAATGTATACATATTATACACTACATGGAAGAGATTTCAGTTTTTAAATTTCTCAAAAAATAATTAGAAGATTACTTTGTAACTTTAGAGGTAATTAGTACATGCTATTTTTCATACTTAGCAATAAAAGTTAAAGATTTCAAAGATTTCAGGGACTGACAATAAATTATGAAAGAAAACAAGCATTCTGTTACACCCTATGCCAGAAAATCATGCAATAAGCTTGTACCAATTACTTTGTTACTTCAAAAAACTGCATAAAATTTCGTAAACATAACTTGAATATTTTTGAGATATGAACACGGTTATAAAAAATTAAATTTTTAATCTTATGACTATAGCTTTAAAAATATTTAAATTTAGAAAAAAAGTTTAGTATATTTTTCTAAGTAGTTTTTTTTTTTTTTTTTTTTTTAAAGAAAGCTCAAAATGATAAGGAATTTTCCACAAATTTCATTTTTTGTATCATAAAACAAAATTCAATAACAAATGATAATACCTTATAATAATTATCCAAACACCAAACTGTGATGGTATAAAGAAAGAAAACAAGCAAAAGAAAACCATCCTTTATGATGTATCATCTAAAAAGTACAAGAACTACTTAGAAAATTCCTTGAAACTCTTGAAATCTTTAAGATATTCAAAACAAATTTTTTTTTATTAGTTGCCAAATATGATTTATTATAAAATTTAAAAGATTTTTTACATGCATGCGCAATATAAAAGAACTACATTAAATAATCACATTGAATCTTGTTTTAATTCCATAACAAAAATTTTGTAATTATTTTTTAATTGCTCTAAAAATTTTGTTTAATTATATTGAATATTTTTAAAGCTATAGCAGAAAAACACAACACAAAAAAATTGGTATCTTATAAAAATGTCCATGACTGCATTAACATTTAAGTTAGGTATATGAAATTTTATGCAGTAACTGCAAATAACAACCAAAGTAATTGGTATAAATAACAAACTTATTGTTGATTTTCTGGCATAGGGTATTCAAAAGTACTTTTTTTTAAATTTATTGTCAGTCCCTGGAACCTCTGGAAGTTTTAAATCTTATTTCTAAGTAGGAAAAAATGCATGTACTAATTACCTTGAAAGTTACAAAATAATCCTTAAAATATTTCTTGAGAAATTTAAAAAAAAAAAACAGCCTTTTCCACCATTATTGTAATGTATATATATATATATATATAGAGAGAGAGAGAGAGAGAGTATAATTTTAAAATGCAAGATACCAGTTCATTTGAGAAAGTCAAAATGCTTTATTCTTTAATTTTTCTACTTATTTAAAACAATTTTCTTTTCTAAAAAAAGCATGTAAAAAGCACAAAGAGCGCAAGAATTTATTTAGAAAGTATAAATTATGTAGTTTGTATACAGTAAAAAATAAATTTCCTTTCTGCAGAAATATTTTTTTTAAATTTGCAATAATTTAAATATTAAAGTATTCATAAAGTATACCTTATTTTGTTAAATGTAAACGCAAGAAGGCAAGCTCAAAACAGCTATTTATATCTATATACTTCCAAAATATTATCCATATACCTTTATCTACATATACCTTGTAAATGTAGATAAATTGTTCTGCTTTGTCTATTAAAACTTAAAACAAATTATTCTTATTGTCGTAAGGATGAATTAAATTCTTCTTAATTGCCATTGGTGTCCTTGAACACTAAATTATTTTCTCCCGTAGCTCTCCTTTAAAAAAAGATGCGCACTTTTAGTATTTATACATGTATGTTCCTATTATATTTTTATTTAAATAAAAGTTTATATTATTCATGGGTTATTGTAACAAGTTTAATGATAAAATACCTGAAATTTAAGCAGAAAAAAAACTATGTAGTAGTCATTATTGTATATTCATTGATTGTAGACAAATTTGATGATTTCTTTTAGAAAATTATAACTATGATATCCATTTTGAAAATTCTAACCATGAGAGCTGAGGTTTTATTTTAATCTAATATCATGCATAAAATGACTAGAAACCATAACTACAAACAAAATCATTTAAAGAAATAAAAATACCTACATTTCATAACACCGACAGATTTCAGATCTTGGCACAGATTTGAACCGTTGAGTGATAAAAAAAATTTCCTCCTTCGAATGAAATTAAATTTTTAACATTTAATTTTGATTATCAGTCTTAACCTCAAATTTTAATGCTGAAAATGGGTTTTATATTACCGTCTAGGAAAAAAATTTATTTCCTCGGCTGCATCCATGGAATTTACATTGTCAAACTACTAGAAACTTCATATTTCTTATTTTCACACCCAAAGTTTAAAAAGAAACATAACACACTATAAAAAAAAAACTTTTAAATACTATAAAAAAAAAACTTTTTTAATGATTGGTAATGGGTAAATCAACACTATAGAATTATGTGGATAGGAAAATAGTGCAAATACAAATCATGATGCGATTCGTAAATGACCTAACTATAAACAAAAAAAACTTTTTTTAATGATTGGTAATGGGTAAATCAGCACTATAGAATTATGATGTTGATAGGAAAATCGTGCAAATACAAATCTCGATGCGATTCATAAATGACCGAAATATGAATTGCAATTTGTAATACATGCAATGAGAGAAACCAAATTGAAAAGTCTTTCATAAATCCCTTTAATGCAAACTACAATGAGTGATTCGTAAATTGGGCCATCACAAATTGTGCCATTAAATTCGTAAACCACACTTTTTTCAAAAAATATGTGCAATTCATAATTTGTAAAAAAGAAATCCATGAATCTGCAGAATTTATCATTATTAATCATTAACAAAAAATCAGCCTTTCAAATTTATAAAATTAATGAACTGAATAAATGAAGATTTAAAGAGAATAAAATTAACACTCTTAAAATCAATGAATGAATTTAAAAATTACTGGAACACTAAATACAAGTGCCCACAAACACTCAGAAAAAAATTCCCTAGCTTATGCAGAATGATTTTATCGAATTTCCTTGATTATTGTAACTATGAACAAATGGCATAAATAATTAATTTTTCAGTTATACCTTATTCTCATGCAAAAAAGATATTATGAAATACTGATACTTGCTTTAAAAGTTGAAAAGAAAGCTTTTTTTTTTAATTATTAA